ATTTATTAGTTTAAGTAAAAAAAATTAATTTTTTTAATTAAATATTTTAAATTTAAATTTTATAAATGCAAAAATAAACACGGAAAAAACTTCAATAAAAGTAATAAAAAATTAATTTTATAAATGCTAAGATTAAACTTAAAATTTTAATTAATTAAAAATTCAATAAAAGTAATAAAAAAGTAATAAAAAAACAAATTTAGTAACGATAATAACCTCGTCATCGTTAAAGGGTGAAAAAGTGCCGGATAGAGCACTTCCGCTTATTTCAACACGCCGCCGGTGGCCCCCGCTTAATCTGCCAACCAACCGTTAACAACTGCATTTTTGGCCAAAAAAACCCGTAAAAAAAATGCAGAGCCCCAAAGAGATGAACAGGGTCTGGCATGCAAAATACATGGGTGTCCAAACCGTGTCTGGCGAAACCTCTCTTCCTTTCAAACCCAGGCACCACCTAATCAACGTTAGCAGACTCCAGTTTGGCTTCCCTTTATTTGTTATGTCAATTTCTTAACATTCAATGACACTAGAGATTATGTAGTCCAATCTTGCTTTCTGGGTTTGCTTCAAGTTCTAAAATTTTTTTTTTTTTTAACTTGTTTTCTTGGTTTCATCTTGTACACTTGGCATAACTAGTTTCGTTATTTACGGTGGAGAGTTTTAGAGGATTTTCTTGTTCTGTTGTTTAGGGTGGAGAGTTGTAGGGGACTTTCTGGTTCTGTAATTCTTTAGCTCTTGTGTGTTTCAGGGCTTTAAAGGGGCTAAAAGTTTCCCAATTTGATATCTGCTAGTACTTGACAAGGGTTTAATTAGTGAATCTTGAAGAGGGGCCTGAACCATATACCTATCTCTAGTGGAACTCATGGCATCAATCCCGACTTTCAGGGTTTCACTTTATGGTGTAAATTCAGAGTATAGGCCTCATTTCCGAGTGAGGGGTCAGGGGTTAGGAGGTAATGATTTGACAATGGTGTCTTCGAGTGATGGCAGGGGTGGAAGGTTGAAATCTAGTGTTGAGAAAAAGTTAGTGAAAGGTTTGGTTTCTGAGCATTTGGAAGTCTTGTGGGATGATGGTTATGGTACTAATACTGTGAAAGATTGCCTTACTGCATCCAGCGAAATGATTAAGCCTGATGGTGGACCGCCTCGTTGGTTTTGCCCTGTTGAGTGTGGGTGTCCAGTAAAGGATTCTCCTGTTCTTCTATTTTTGCCTGGTAATTTAAGGGTTGACAGCTTTGTTATTTTGGAACTTTGTTATGTCTTTTCATAGGGATAAATGGCGATAAATTTCTTGCTTTAAACAAGATATTTTATACATGATTGTTTGAATTTAATCTTTTGAGGCTCAACCTCTTTCAAAGGTAATCGTTTGTTTTTCAGATTTTAGAAGTACAAATGGTACTCTCAGTTTTTTAGCACTGATGATGCAGGGCTTGATGGTGTTGGGATGGGCCTAATGTTGCACCACAAAGCTCTTGGGAAGTAAGTTTCCTACTCTTTCCCTCAAACTGTTTTAATACAATTATTGGTATGTATTTATACATGTAGAGAAAACTGTATGCCACACCAATCAAACTTTGAAAAATATGAATCAGCTATATTAAAGTAAAAAACTGAAATTGAAAGCAAAAGAACTTGTCATTTGGAGGAGATGCAAGACAAGGGAAGTGAGGATATTGGAAGTTTAGAAAGAAAGAAAGCAGAGCAGATCTATGTATGTATGTATGTATGTATGTATGTATGTATGTGTATGTATATGTGTATGTATATGTATAGGTATATATTTATGTTTTTCATTTGGCCATCATTTGACATATATCATGTGCACATCTATGCATGCAATTTTTCGGTCTTTATGTCTTTGTTTGTAAAACTAGGTGGTGATTTCTTCATCCTTAGATTTCACTGTTCAAGTTAATTCGAAAAACCTTGATGTACCTGTTTAGCTGTGTTAATTTTGTGTTACATTATAAGCAAGGATCGCTCACAAACAATATTTTTAAGTGCAGGGTGTTTGAAGTTAGATGTCTTCATATTCCCATTTATGATCGGACACCATTTGAAGGTTTTTATCCTCCAAAGCCTATGGGTTTAATTTACTTGAGTTTTACTTTGATGTTTGGTGTAATGGTGGATTGAGGTTAGAATCCCACATTGAAGGCAAATCAAGCATGGTTGTGGCTTATAAGATGGGGTCAACCATCCTTGAATTACCTTTGATGTGGGATTCTAATGTCACTCCACCATCACACCACTGATAATCAGCTTTACGCCTTTTCTGAGGTTTCTAGATCTCCTGTGTGTACGAAGTATCCTTCTTTCCTTCAATGGATGAATTGGAAGGCATAGTGTAGTAAAGAAATTGCAATCTATCTTACATTGTGAAACTATTCCATTTTTCTGATACTGGATATGCATGTTAGTGAACATATTTTTCTCCTTTTTGTATTTGTATGTCTTTAGAGCATGTGTATTTTTTGTTCTTGTCGAGTCAATAAGATCACATCCTTCACTCATCAAAAAACAAAAACAGATCACAACCTTTATCAGCAATTTAATGTTTCTTTTTTATTGGAAATTCAATGTTGCTTTATTGAATGAAGAACTGGTGAAGTTAACTGAAGAAACTATTAGGCTTGAGAATGCCTTGTCCCCAAATAAACCAATCTATTTGGTGGGAGATTCTTTTGGGGGTTGCTTAGCACTTGCAGTTTCTGCTCATAATCCCAAGATTGACCTTGTAGTGATACTAGCAAATCCAGGTCAGTTTTCATATTTCCAGTTCCATCAGCATCATCATCATCATTATTATTATTTTGTTCTTCTCATATTCTTAGCTTTTATTGGTCTTTGCACTTGATTAAGATACCCCAAGTTATACTGATACTTTTTAGCACTTCATGTTAGCCACATCATTTGGCAGGTCACAGCTGCAACCTTTTATTTCTTTCTTTGAAGCTTTGCCAGATGGACTACATGTCTCCATTCCCTATATTTTGAGCCTTGTTATCTGTACGTGATATTTATGGCATGCTTTATGAAACTGGGTTGTCATTGCTGTTATGATATATATTTCCAGTCTGCCAAATCCTTCTAGCCTAGTTTAGTTTAGTAGTCGATTTCTGATTGGATAAAAGTACAAAATAAAAGAAAATAAAAAAATAAAAAAAAAAGGAAGAAGAAGAAGAAGAAGAATGAAGTAAAACTTATTTTCCTAGTTGACAATATAGCATGAGAAGTAAAAAGTATCTCCATGTGATTTTCTTTTCTGTGACAGCAACAGGTTGCTTTCCAGAATTTTTTTCTTAGTTTCTCTTCTTCTT